TTACATTGGGGAGACCAAGTGACCTGGCAAAGAGCTGCTTTTTTAATGGACACAAATTTTCTATAAAACTCCACCCATGGCCGTCCTTAGGTATACGCAGCATATGCAGCTGCATAGGGCACCCAAAAATTTGGGGCACCACCGGGACCATAGGTTCCCACTTCTCATCTTGCTGGGGGGTACTCAAATCCCCCCTCCACTGTAGGCCCCACCCCCACTCCACCCCTTCCCCCAAGTCCCCGCCCTGCCTCTTCCCACCCCGCTTCACCCCCACCCCACCTCCTCTCCCTCCCTACCAGAGCTTGAACACCGTCAATCAGTTGTTCGCGGCACTCCAGAAGTGCTGGGAGGGAGTGGGAGGAGTTGGTAAGTGCAGGGCCGCTGGCGCACGAGAGGCGCAGGGAGAAGGGGACAGGGGGAGCTTGGCATCGGTGGGTGCTCTGCACCCACTAAATTTTCCCCGTGGGTGCTCCAGCCCCAAAAAACCCACCCACGTAGTCTGCGCCTATGACCGGGACAGCAGGTAAGAGCAGGTTGACTCCCGCACACCCAGTACGCGCTACAGACTCCTTATGAGGCAAAAGGCAGGGACCATATTCACAGAGCCAAATGCACTGGCATAGGAGCACCAGTATAAGCACACCAATATACAGATACACTGGTATCATCACTTGCGCCAGCATAGGGGCACTAGTTTAATAATACTGCGTAGGGCCCCCATAAATCCTAAGGACGGCCCTGACCCTATCAGACCAAGAAATGCCCAAACTTGCTTTTTTGATTTCAGAATGGGAGTGTTGGTTATGGCTTCCACTTTATCAATCAAGAGTTCCACTTTACTGTTCCCCACCAGGTACCCTAAGTATGTGGTCTGCCACTTCCCTAATGTGCATTTCTTTCAGTTTGTGGTTAAATTGGCATCCCATAGGACCTGCAGAACTGTGGCTAAGTCCTGACTGTAGACTACCACATCATCCAAGTAGGCTGTTGCTCAGGGTTGATGGGGCCACAACACCTGGTCCAAGAGTCTTTGAAAGGTGGCCAGGCTGATGTGTAAATCAAATGGCATATTAACAAATTGAAAAAGGCCTACAGGAGTTGAGAAGGTTGTCTCAGCATGGGAATTGGGGGAAAGCAGGATCTGCCTATTGCCATTAGTTAAGTCTAATGTAGAGATGTATCAGGTCTGGCTGAGCCAATTAAACAGGACATTAACTCCAGGTTCTGGCTAGGCAACGAAGTCAAAGTTCACATTGATTTGGTAGAAGTCTTTGCAGAATCAAACAAGGAGTACCAGACTGCACCAGGGACCTCTCAGTTCCTCAATCACACCTAGTTAATCTCCTGGCCCTCTTGTACTAAATGGGACTTCAACCCCTCTGGGATGGGATACTGACTTTTGACTGGGTTGGGGCCCGGGTTTTATATGGATCGGTGGGCCACTACAGAGATTCATCCTGGAAATGGGGAAAATATGTCCTTGTACGTCTGCAACAGGTCTCTAATTGTTCTCTCCGACCAGTGAACAACCCATCCCCGAGCAGGACCCCCTTAATCCCTACCTCAGTTGGTTCTGTGCGCTGGGGTCCTAAATTCTCAGCTCCTTCTTCTGTATGGATGAAGAGGTTTTCCTGAGACCTCCAAGGCTTAAGCAGTTTACATGGTAAATCTGCTTTGGTTATCACTGGTCCAGAGCGTAAACCTCATGATTGACCAGACCTAACCTCCAAAGGACCTCATAGGGGTCCTGTCATTTGGCTAGGAGTTTGCACTCTGTTCCAATGAACTTTCTCAGCAGGGATGTAGGAGTTTGCACATGCTCAGTAGAGACTGAGCTTCACAGCATGAAAACTCTTCCTTTATATACATTTACACATTACATTGCATTTACTATAGATAGCATCACACATTTTGGGATTAGCTTGGTCACTTTGTAAAAACCAACCTATGTAGAGCATACTCTGTCCAGGCACGACTTACTCTTTGCCTCATCTTGCATTCCAGGCTTATTCCATTCCATCTTGCATTCCAGTTATTGTGTCCATTGTAAATAGCTTCCTGGCTGTTCTTTCTGATCTTAACTAGTACAGACTTCTGTTTCCAGCCTGCTGATCCATTTACCTCCCTAATTCTGTTTCCCAAAATATAAGGCCTCACTCATGTCCAATTACTCATGACAGACTAGGCATACATGAGGAAAGGGGCTTAGGTATCTATCTGGCTAACCTGGTGCACCTGGCTGATGAGCCGGAGATAGGCACCTCCCTCAGAGCATGTCTATGGGATCAGGCTCCATTGGTAGACAGACATTCCCTTGCCCCATTTGAGAATCCTGCTTTGGGGCCTCCAGTTTAAGCGAGGGCTCTGTGTAGTTCGTTAGCAGTGCGGTGGCAGGAGTGCTGAGGTTGCTTTGAAAATGCTGACCAGAGGAAAGTTACGTGCCTAGAGAGGTTAAGCTGTACCTGAGCTATGACTTTTTAAATGTCAGAGGTGCCTACATAGTAGATTTAGGCACCTAAATCCCTTTAAAAATCTGGAGCAGAATTCCTCTATGATGCTACTCAAGTCATGTAAACCACATTTTTTCACAGGTGGTCATTGTGTGTTCCTAATTTTCTGGGTGCTAACAGGATACCCTGGGGTCTGATTTGCAGACGTTCTGAGCACTCACAGCTGCACCTGACATCAATGAAAGCAGTGCTTTGAACACAGAAAGTGTTACATAATGCGAACTACTCTGAAAAAATCAGGTTCTAGGTGTCTCAAGTTGGTCAACCAAAATTAGTGGAAACTTTTTAGATTCACCTATCTGTAAAATGGGAATAATACCCCCCACTCACCTCACAGGGGTGTCATGAAGATAGATAAATTAATTAATGTTTGTAAAGCACTCTGTCTACTGAAGAAAAGCACTATAGAAAAGTCCATGAGAAAATTAATAATTCTGTCTTCAGAACAGGGTTTGAATAGAGTGCAGTAAATAAGGCATGGGCCCACATATTGAACAATAAGGAGAAAACAAAACACGGAATAACTGCTCATTACATGTTTCAGAGTAGCAGCCGTGTTAGTCTGTAGCTGCAAAAAGAACAGGAGTACTTGTGGCACCTTAGAGACTAACAAATAAATGTATTTGTTAGTCTCTAAGGTGCCACAAGTACTCCTGTTCTTTTTGCTCATTACATGGGCACTGTCCATCCTGTGCAATGAATGAGACAGGGATCCTGTGGAAAAAAAATGGTCTGTGAGCATGTAATTAAAGTCTCTCTCATAACACACAAGCACAAGGGGACCAAATTAAGGTTGCACAGGCACTCTTAATTCTAGCATTTCCTAACTTTTGAGTGCTTGTCTTCAACTTTAATAATGTTTTTATGTAGTGAGTTTGTGTGTGAGGGGGTTGTGCAAAAATATCATAGTTATTATATATAGATATGTACAATCACTGTGAAAAAGCAGATAAAAATAATTGGTCAAAATGCTAGGGCATCTTCCAATGGAAAGAACACATCTGAAAGGGTAAAAACTGTAAACAAAGTATTCTCCTGAGCCTAATAAAATAATGCTGTACCCTGTGTTTTGGTAGTACCTTTCATGGTCCAGAAGATGGCAGACCTGTATATATTAGTTTTCAGTGTGATAACCATTACAGTGAATATACATTGGTTGCTTTAAAACAGATGCTACATGTTATATGCAGTGGCTAATAGTATCACCTTACTTAGGAAAAACTTTCCTTCAAATCAGAATATTTTTACGATGACACACTTGGAAATATAGAAACATGCAAATAAGAGTCCATTAATTACTATCCATGGTGTTTTCTACGGTTACTAATGCTTTTGGAGCAGAATCACAGAGTATATTATTATTTGATAAAACCACCAGTGTTAATTATATAGCTCAGTTTGGGATTATCTTAACTAAATCAGTGACCTATTTTTAATAAAGGAATAATTTACAATTATTTGTACTTACTCATCTTCAACAACCAAGTAAACTAGCTCTTGCTTTATATATATTATCACAAAACAACACCCATCATTTTTTTCCCCATCTTCAGAGCATTAGTGTTTTCCGTTCAAACAAATATTTTTACTTCTATTTGTTATGTAAAATTGATATAGATGTATTCAAGAGACTGCAGCTACAAATAATTCATTTTAACCTCTAAAATGTACATGCTTATTTCCTCAATAAAATGTTATTTTATAAATACCTTTTCAGATTCAGCCTGACATTCATATACTTTGGTCATTGTATTGAATTCAGCATAATTACATTTTTATTAAAATGAATAATTTCTAGTACACAAATCATTACTAGTACACAGTTGTTCTCAAAGAAAGACATCACTTAGAAACAAGTTTCCCTATTATTTTATACCGTTAGATTCCTTTGCTGAAAACCCTGTAGTTGTTTTAGACCCAAGTTTTTCAGATGTGATATTGCCAAGTGATGCTGTCATATTCCAAAAGGCCAAGTGAGAAAAGGAATGAGCTCATAATCTTGCTTTTATATTTTATTTTAGCAAACCTTGCTTCACCTATAAATGTTATAATTATAATTACACAGGCATATCATTTTCCAATAAAGGTTTCATTCTATTTGTTCCACTTGGCTGGGAGCTACAATGTGCTTAGATTCTTGCAAAATATTAGACAATTTTTCTGGGGGAAAAATACAGTCAAAAGTGTTCATACCAGCAAAGCTGTGAAAAGGAAATCATGACAATTTAAAAATAAAAATTCACTCTTATTTCATAGTGAGCAAAAGGAATTAAAAAATTCCAAATTATTTAACCTTAAAATGCTTACAGTAGAACACAATGAGCCTTGCATTCTGTACTTAGGCAAAACTCCCACTAAGTCAAGGAACTGGGCGGTCAGGACCCATGTTCCTATTCTGCGTCAATTGGAACATTGGAGGATTTTTCATATGCAAACATGCTTTTAATAATGTATTAGTAGTGAAGCCTCATTTAAAATACAGCTTCCTACCTTGTGTTCACAGACTTGTTGCTGACTCACCTTTCAACAACAGGATTCTGAAAGGGCAATAAAAAAGCCTCAAATAACAAAAATTACTTAAGTCTTTCAATAAAATAATAAGCCTCCGTAAACTACTCCCATGTTTAGATTCTTTCCTGTAGCTAGCTTTTGCAGACATGCCAACAAATTGTTGCTTATTTGAAGAAACTCCCATCATTTTGGATCAATTTTAAGGCAGTTTTTAAAGCATCTTCCTCTAATAATAAAGAATATTTTGCAGCATGTGTGTTTCAATTAAACATTTGTATTAGACTATGACTATAAAAACCAGTTCATCTTTCTTTACTGAACATTTTTTAACCTCAAACGGTCACCGGTTGGCAGCCTTATTTTATAGCTTATTATGCAATATACAGCTATGCTCTCTAGCCAGGGCCAACGAGTTTGAGATTTTTGGATGCTGTTGGGTGTCTTAAATGACCATGTCAAGTTCTCGTTTGTTTGCAGAGAGTTTCAATTTGGATCTAATTTTGCAAAAGCTTCTCCTTGCGATGAAGGTTTTTGCAGTGTTTCAATACGATAGTCACAAGATTGTACATCTTTTGACTTCAGTGTACAGATCCTCCCCTAACTGTCGTTCCCATTGCCACGGGCTGAAAACCACTCCAGCAAATGCTTGTTGCACCCACAGCAGCAGGGGAGTAAGAGAGATTTTAATGCCCCGTGTGCAGCTCTTGGAGCTCTCTGTGTTTGGGCAGGGCCGCGGTTAGACGAGAGGCTGTTCCTGTCTTTTGACTGATTTCTCATTCAGAAGCTGAGGTGTTTTGTTTTTTTTAAGGGGGGGGAAGGACTGGGTCTGGAAGGAGAAAAACTCCCTCCGGCCACACCTGATGATTCGCCTGAGCCCAGTCCCCGCCACCGCTGCAAGTATCAGACCAGGAAGCGGCAGCTCCAACGCAGGCTACTACGGCTGCTTGCTGGATCTGCACGCGCATCCTCCCAACAAAAGCGCGCACCGAGCCTCTGCCCCCCGCGCGCGCCACTCTGCAGCCAGCTCCCGCGTGCGAAGGGCACTACTCCCCCGCCGCTGCGCGGCAGCCATTCACAGGAAAGCCAAGCCCCAGCACATTTACTTTCGGGCATCATTACTTGACGCATTGCAGGTGCAACGCAACCAATCAGGAGGCTCGGCTCTTCCCGACAAACCATTGCAGGGTCCCTTCGGCCAATCGGAGAGCCCTTGACAAAATGCTCCCCTCAGACGCATCAGCAGCTTTCAGTTACGTTATGCGTTGTGGCCGAGCGCGAGAGGCTGGTAACCCTCCGCCGGAGGATATAATCCCTGCTTTCAATTAATTCACGTGCGAGCGGATCGCTTCTTCCCGCTGCCAGGCTCGTTGTCAGTTCTGGCTTTCAGACCACTGCACCTGAGCGTGCATTTGCTTCCCTCCCCTCGGCTCTGTGGGAGCTATGGAGTTGGCTGCATTTAAAACAGCTGCAGGCAATGATCAGCACGCACCGAGCATGTTTCAGTGCTTGGGAGCAGCGTCTCTCTATACAGCTCTTTTCTGCCGCTCCAACAACAGCCATAAAGAAACCCCCTTGCAAAAACAGAAATCCCTTTCTGATGTCAACTCACCCCTACCCACACCCCCATGTAAATCCACTTCCAACAGTTTCAAGCCTCTTTATTTGCTGATTGGACACCGAGTTTCTGTTTCCTTACAAAGATGCTTCCCTTTTAATCTCATACAGAAGCTTTGCCAGGCTTAAATGCAGTTTTGGGTAAGAAAGAGAAATGTCCTTCTTGAGCTCACCTCAGGACACTATAAAGGAATGGGTGCCCCACCATGGAGGCAAAAGAGTTTGAGATTTGCCCCTGAAAATCTTGATTCAAGCAGAGTTTAAAGGGGTGTTAGAGAAGTTCCATCTCTAGTACTGCCCAGCCATACAATTCCATTTGTTTGTAACAAAATTTGGGGCTGTTGGTTGTCCAGTGCATTTCTAATGTTAACTGTGCCTCCTTGGGGATGGCAGGAAGTATATATAATACTACTGGTTAGTGCTGGGTCTTAGCTTCTTGAGCAACTTAAGGGAAGGATCAGCCTAAGTCATGCCCACTTTGATTGTATTTCTAAAAGCTATTTTTTAGCTCCAGCAGAAATTATGGGATTGATGTGAGACTCCCATGATACAGTTCTACAGCCTGTGTTATGCAGGAGGTCAGACTAGGTTATCATAATGAACCCTTTAGAGAGCGTAATGCAAAACCCCACTTTTAGCTAAAGCCTGTGTATCTGCATTACTATGAAGATGAGAGAGCGCAAGAAGAGACAAACTGAAGAAAAAGAGGAGAGGGAAAGTATCCATGTTTAAAAGGCTAAACCCCATGATAAAAACAAAAGAGTGCATTTCAAGTCCTTTACATTTTTGCTTATTCAGTGTTGAATTTTTGTTAACTTGTGTTTCCATTAAGGAGATTGGTGCCCTAACTGCACCTAAAATAGCTTATAGAGAAGGCAAGAGAGCAAAAGCAGAGTGGATGCCAAAGTGAAATGATCTGAAGTACTGAGTTCTGACCCAAGGATAGGCCCAGAGCAGTGAAGAAAAGAGTGTGACCTGATTCTCCCTGACTGGAAAATCTATCTCAGTACAGGCAAACCCAAGACTAAACCAGAAGACTAACCAAACTAAACTAATCAGATTTATCTCTAATGCATACAAATCCCAGTCTTGATGCAATGCACCTTTGTGTTATGCTTGCACCCTGCAATACCATCACTGCTAACCTCAAGTCCAGAAACTAGCAGTAAATTTACTGAAAATAAGTGCCTCCTAAGCATATTTCCCACTTGTGCCACAACAGAAATAACAAGAAAATAGCCTTGTGGAGGGGATGGTACCACTGTTTGCCATAGTGGTACCATCCCCTATGGTACCACTATGGATCATAGGTTGAATTTTAGGCATTTCCTCAGTCCAGAGAGGTTGAGACTTTGTCAGTCTCAGAATAAGGATAGCATGATAGAAATTTAGATGGAGATACAATAGCTATTGACAGCAACACCCACACAAAGAATTTGGGAAAATCAGCCAAACTGGGCTAGCTCTGTTTTTGCTGTTCCCAGAAAGGACAGGAGTTTCTCTTTCTTTACGCAACCTCGGAGCTTCAGCAGTGATCTAAGATCCACAAGTATGGGAAGGACCAAAAGTCCTGAGTGTCACAATTATTATAGGAGATTAGACAGTGTACAAACTACAGTTTTCAAGGACGAGTACTTTTGGTTCCAAGCAATTAGAAAACCAGCTACTGGACTCTGAGGTGGACAAAGGAACTATTTAAATAGGGAGTTTAAAACTAGATTTTAGGAGACTTCAGGGGTTTCTGTCACATCCAGTTTAGTCCTTTCTATTAAAGAGCCTCAAGTCTCAGAAGATTAAAGTGCTATGATTGCTAGATGCTGCCATCTCAGATAGGCAGGGGAGAGACAGGCTGGTGAAACTGAGGGAGATCTGGGTATTTTTTGACAGTTTCCCAATCTGATAATAGAGTTCGCTGTTTCTCTGGCAGGTTGTTAGAAAATTTAGGGTTTGGTCAGTGGGCAGCCCTGGAGACTTTTCCTGCATGACTTGCTTGTAACTTTTTGTGGGGTCAGATACCAAATATGGCTGCCCAGAGAAGTGGTTACATAACTTTCTTCATGCACTTAGTACAACAGAATAAGGGAGGTACAGTAGATCAGTTGTCTAGAACAGTGGTTTTAAAACTGCGGCTTGCAACCGAGTACTGGGTCACAGAATGTAAGGCACAGAATGGGTTGCGGCGGCTCTGGTCAGCACTGCTGACCGGGCTGTTAAAAGTCCTGTTGGCGATGCTGCCAGGCTAAGGCAGGCTAGTCCCTACCTGTTCTGACACCATGCTGCACCCCGGAAGCGGCCAGCAGCAGGTCCAGCTCCTAGGCAGTGGGGGGGGGAGGGTCAGCACAAGGTTCCACCCACTGCCCCCACGCTAAGCACCAGCTCCACACTCCCATTGGCTGGTTCCCAGTCAATGAGAGCTGGGGGGCAGTGCCTGCAGGCAAGAGTTGGACCTACTGCTGGCTACTTCTGGGGCAGGAAGCCTTAGTACTCCTGTTGTGCTGCTGACCGGGAGCTGCCTGAGGTAAGCCTGTGCCTCAACCCTGCACCCCAAACCCCTCATCCCTGGCCCCACCCCTGAGCCTGCACCCCCAGCCCTGACCCCTCCCACACCCAAACCCTTCATCCCCAGCTCGGTTGGGTCACAGGCATCAACAATTTTCTTCAACTGGGTCGCTAGAAAAAAAGTTTTGAAACCACTGGTCTAGATGAAAGAGTTTAACTTCCAGCATCACTAATTTAGAAAACACACGCGCGCGCACACACACACATATAAATGTAGTTCATCTCAAGCCTGTACAACAGTATGGCAGATTGGGGCATCTGCCTCATGGTTTTTTATCCCAAGAACTATTGATGTGGTTTTGTGCAAATTGTGATAGAAACACCTTATTTGTTAGAGGTAGGGGGACAGATCCTCAGCTGGTGTGAATTGTCATAGCTCTATTGATTTCAATGAAGGAAGCTGTGACAATTCACACTAGCTGAGGATTTGATGCCCTAGAGATTACACTTCTAATTTAAAATTGGTATTCACTGAAATGTATATGCCATGTTGTTAGATGTTTTCTTATGTTTCTTAGCTTCTATGTTTATGTTAGCCCTTCCTCTCTACTTTTCAGAAAAGAATGGAACTCAGAGTTACTATAGAATCGGGACACAAGTTGAGGAGAGCAACAGGTCTGGCCACTCGGATCAATATCTGTGGATTTCTGATGCCTGTGTTGTTCACCTCCATGTCATTCCTATTCATTGAGTTCTGAATTGCTATCCAAGCATCACAAACAAGCACAATATGAAAAGGCTTTTTCATTTATGTTTGTATGATATTGGGGCCTTTCACTCATGTGCCTATTACTTACACCTGCCATTATCCTCACTAAAGTCAGTGAGAGCTATAGCATCTATTTTTTCAGCAGAACTTATCATTAAATTCAGCTGGGACTATATCTCCCAATTTGGCCAGATGGGAATACTCAGGTGAATAAGGATCACTTATGTGAGAAGTGGGTTGCAAAAAAATGCTTTAAAAAAAAAATTTTAAGGATTTCCATGGTTAAAAAAATAATCTCAGTTAACTTTGAAGTTTTTTCTTATTTCAGTGTTGATTAATGGAAACAGAAATGAGTAAGAAATAACAGGGTAGAACTAACTAATTACTCTTGCTCTGCAGCTTGGTTTTGGAACTTTAAATTCTGAAACATTTATTTGTCATTATGTACTAGGTTATTTTAAATTAGCAAGACATTTTAAACAGTTTGTAACAGCTACAATGGTTCAGCTTTTATAAATTGGTTACAGCACAGAAATTTGAAAGTACAAAGTAAACCAGTTTGCTGGCTCACTAAAGTTTCTGATGTCATCTTGAGAGACGAGATGACACAAAACCATCCTCAAAACGTAATTTGACAAAAAAATTTTTGGTTGTTATATGGTATCCATATGCTATAATTTTGTGTGGTTCATAGCTACAAAAGTTAAAGACTAAAATTTTCAGTAGTTGGAGTGACTGTTGTCTTATGCATCTTTTTATGTAAAATATTTTTAAATAGTCTGTAGTAAAACACTTAATTTTCTTTGATAGGTTTATTACTTATAATGATTCTCAGGGAATCTGATTTGAATGAATTTAAGCCAACAGTAAAGTAGCCTGCCCTCTGAAATACCAAGTGTGTTCAACAGTATTACCTTATGGAAATGTGAGATACATAGTTAATAACAAGATACAAATTCTGCCCTCCTGTGTTTGGTTTCTGAATTATAATTAATACTATTTGGTGTCCAGTCTCACCACCAAGAAGAAAAATGTAAATCAGCATTTAAAGAAATATGATTCAATAGCAGGTTCGTGTGTTTGTAGCATTAATTAGTTTTTGTTGGTTGTGAAGGCTGACTCTTGCATTATAAGCCCTTGTTTTCCATGCTCATAACTTTCTGGAAAAGTCTTCATTTCATCTGGAATTTTCCATACATGATCCCAGACATAAAGTGTTTTGTTTTTGTTTTTTTTTTCAAATTAGAGCAAAATCTGTTCACCCAATTTAAGTGTCGAAGAGTGAAAAAATATTTCTGTTCAAAAAGACTGTAACACTAAACCTGTGAAAACATATACACACAGCTAAGTACATGTATGTGAATATTTCCATAACTGCCACATGCATATCTTTGTTGGATTAGGGCCTTTCAGCCCAATTAGCATAAACAGTAAATCAGACATGCCTGAGATTTACAAGATGAAACTTTCTAAGTAGTTAGTCCTCAATGAGGTCAATTTACACAGCAATACATGCAAACATACAATAATTTAAATTAAAAAATAATATAGTTTCAAGCAATTGACTAATCAGTTCTACACATGTGCACTCACTTTAGAATTTCTTATGGGACTAAATAACTGCATAATAATCTTCATCAGTTTCTATTTACAAAGCTTTGTGCTGTTATTTCCTTGTGAA